TAATTAAAAATCGATACAGGGCTTTAGAATATCGATACAGTATCGGGAAATGAAATAACGCGATATTTCAGTGTATCGATATTTTCTTACACCCCTATTCAAAAGTAAACAAAGAAAACAAACAGCTGGCTCTTGGGACCTGGAACGTCACCTGTCTGGTGGGGAAGGAGCCTGAGCTTGTGTATGAGAGGTACTGACTCGATATAGTTGGGCTTATATTGTGGTATTATCTAAATATAATATGTTGATATGAAAAGAGCTTCCAAATTGTAATTTTTTATAATACATTATCACAAATAAAGTTCCAGCAGTTTATTCCCSCTTTCAGGAATAAAATTATTAATGAAAATGTCAAGTTTGTTTYTCGAACAGCCCATCTCAGTGGAAGTTGTGTTGCTAACCTGTGGTTGTCCAGCAGGTGGCAGAGCGCCATCGCCGCTTTTTACAGCAGAAGAGGAGTCATGTCACAACATGTTCACAGCATCCTCCTTTTAGAGATACTGTGGGCCCAGAAATCCCCCCCAAAATAGTTTCCATGTGACAAAAAGCCATGTTTTCAGCATGAAACTAAGCTTCGGAATCCAAACTATGCGGCTCGTTTCTCAGCGGTGTTACATTTACAAAAACAGAAATAACTCCAAAACCTGGAATCTGCATTGATTAGTCAATYATGTGGTAACGTTGTTCCATCAGTTCATCACTAATTCACAACTCATCCCAATAAGACGTTAACACAACAGATAATTATTTTTAAAATTAATTATTTTAATTTAAGTTGAAGCAAAAGGAAAAAAAATCTGTTTTATCTCATCTAGAATGAGTCAGTCTTTACATTTAAGATCTTATTTATTTCTTTGGGTTAAATTTATTTTCTTTAAATCAAGGCTAACATGTTTTCTATTCAAAGTCAACGTGTTTAAATATTAAATTAGCTCATTTCTTGCATAATGCAACTGAAACAGATAAAAACACTTTGAAATGACATGAAAGGATATCTGCACCCTGTAAACGCATGCTTAGATTAAAAACTGTAGTAGAATCATAAAAGTGCTACTACAAAAAATAAAACGCAAAATAAAAAAACCTTTGCACAAAAAATGTTTTTGTTAATTAAATATTTTTGTTTGTAAACCACCTAATTAAGTGAGTTCTGTTAAAAGTTTCCAGTAAACTTCATTCAGTATCTCCAAAAGCACATCCAATATTTTTTGGTTACTGAGCCAAAATAGAAATGTAGAAACATTATTGTGAAGGTGATTAACTGATAAGTTGCAGGTGTTTCTGGTTTGTAGATCAGAACAAAAAAAATTACTGTGAGCTTGTTAATAACTAAAAAAATCCAAGCTTTTACAAAAACTAATCCATACAGCTCATTGTTCAGTTGTACCCTCAAATAGTTAAGATATTTTCCTTCTATAGACTTCAATCTTGTTTTCTCCTTATACTGTAATTAAAGTAAACGCTGTAATGTTGTTTCTTGGCCCGAGTTATTTAATGATAGCCTCCTTCAGCCGAAACCAACCTTCCTCCTCCTCCTCTTCATCATGTGGYACGAAGAGTGAGGATGACATCAATTTCCACATCCCAGTCCAAGTCGAGCTTCAAGACAACCCATCCCTCGTTACRCATCTGTGACATTCATTTAAAGAGGCAAAGTTCAAGAGAGGAAAAGAAAGTCGTTCCCTTTCCTTCCTGCTCAGCTGTCGGAAGYAGCACATAGCTGCTTCTTTAGTCACCACCAGCAGGGCAAAGAAAAGCTTCTCAAACAGTAGAAAAAATGTTAAAGAGAGGTGTTTGCGTCATTCTAAAGTAAACCGAGTCACTCGGACTGTTTTTACCTCAGAAAACAGAGGTTTTTCCACATAAGCATCAATTTTAACATCATTCTCCAGAAACTGTTAGTTTATTCAGGAGTTATAATTTAGCATCACTGATCACAGACGTTTTGACACTGGGTCCCACAGAGACCAGAAAACCCCTTTCAGACACTTTCAAGCTGAGCCTGGGACACCTTCTCACCACATCAGTGTCGTGTGTGAAAGCCGATCGCTTGAAGGGAGGTAGTCACAGAGCTGAGTTGGCGAGTAGGTGTGAAGCGGGGACACGTGCAGCGCTGCTGACAAATGCTTTCATATTTACAGTTAACAGAGTCCTCTTTCTTGTCCAAGGTGCTGTTGTCGACGAGTCCAATGGAAAAGTTCTGGTTGTCCAGGACAAAAACAAGGTAAGTCTGGGATTTTGATCCTCCTCTGGGCACTAGAGCACCTGGTTGAGTCCCCAGTGGCAAAGCAGTGAAATTTTATTATTAATACTATTTTTTGGTTTCTCTAAGGGTCTACGCTTTCCACAACAATTTTGAAGCAGCTGGTACAAACAGTGGGAGTGGGAAGATTTTAGAAACATGAAATTCAAAATGACCGACTTCCTGTAAGGTTTAAAATGTGGTGCCAAGAGACTTTTTTGTAGGTCCTGGACTCGTGCACCTAGGTACCAAATTTAACACACGTACATTAAAGGAGTCAGAGGGGCTGCATTCAAAATGGTGCTATAATGAGCCAGTTTGCTCCGCCCATATTTGGGTTTATGCACCTCCCCCAAATTTATGCTAGTTCTAAATATTTGCCAAATTTTGTGATGCTTGTCAAAATGAAAATGTTAATAATAATCATCATTTCAAAAACAACACAGCCTTCGCTGCCCGGACCCTAAAAAGATGTTTTAAAAAGGCTGAAAAAGTTTTATTCAAATGATTTTTAAAAATTTGTTTCCAAGGAATAAAATTATAAAATTAAATGGCTCAAGACATTTGAGCAGCTTTTCAGTACAAACATGTTTTTGCTAAAACAGCTAATCTTTGATATTACTATTGTAGRACATATTTGGTAATGAATAACTTTTTACCATGTGTTTTGTAGTATTTTGTGTTAAATTTAAATGTTAAAAGTGCTGGTCCCGACGCAGATTTCTCTATAATCAGAACCTAAATTAGCCGAAGGATCACAGCTAAAAATGTCGGTGATTAGTTTTGTTTACTCAGAAACTTGTTTGCTGCTTGTATTTATACAAACAGGGGGTGGAAGTTTCCTCAGACATTCAGCTCCTCTAACATTTACCTTCTCTGCAGGCGTCATTAGCTCAGCTGAGACAAACAAGCTGTTTACACACGCTAACCCAGCGTAGCTGTCGGCACTGTTGCTGCTTTAACTTCTGACTTTCAACAGGCTTCTTTTACAGTTGTGTCCGCTTTTTTCAGAGAGCCTTTTCAGACGACTGTGAAAAAGTAATTACATAACATGAAAATGTTTGTTTTCAAAAAGAGCAGGCCATTTGAGCTGGAAAGAAAGCAAATCACCAGATTTGCATCTAGAATCGATAAAGCTTTGGGGTCAACATGTCCCTGTCTATCTGCGTCATGGTGGAGCAGTGGTTGCAGGTTCAGAACTCAGGAACAACAGGCCAGCTTTGAATCCACAACCTTCTTGCTAACCCTCACACCTCAAATCTCTGCTCTAAAAACACAGATTTTAGGTAATTGAAAAAGGGTCCCTGCAGTCACAAAGTTAAGAGGTTCTTGGTTTGTTGGTAGAATATGGTTAAAGACATGATTGGTCGGATGGACTATTTGGGGTGGGGTTTGAAGAAGCTGTAACGATACGGTTGGATGAAGGCTATACACGAGGGAATGTGTAAAAATTCGGCTTGGTGGAAACAGCCAGAAACACCAAAAATATCATTGCTAATTTTGAATATGAACATTAGTCACAGCTTCAGACATGAATGTGGTAGCCGCTTGAAATTTGAAGTCCAATTAAATTTAAATGTTTTACAATAATTTTGCTATTACGATTGCTTCATCTTTTAACTTCTCCAAGTCAATCTGACAATCATGGATTTGCCAAACTCCACTCACACCTCTAAAAAGTCCGCCTATATTCCAAACTCCACCCACACGTCTAAGTCAGTCTATATTCCAAACTCCGCCTGCACGTCTAAGTCAGTCTATATTCCAAACTCCGCCTGCACGTCTAAGTCAGTCTATATTCCAAACTCCACCCACACGTCTAAGTCCGTCTATATTCCAAACTCCACCCACACGTCTAAGTCAGTCTATATTCCAAACTCCACCCACACCTCTAAGAAAGTCCGTCTATATTCCAAACTCCACCCACACGTCCAAGAAAGTCTGTCTATATTCCAAACTCCGCCTGCACGTCCAAGAAAGTCTGTCTATATTCCAAACTCCACCCGCACGTCCAAGAAAGTCCGTCTATATTCCAAACTCCACCCACACGTCCAAGAAAGTCCGTCTATATTCCAAACTCCACCCACACGTCCAAGAAAGTCCGCCTATATTCCAAACTCCACCCACACGTCCAAGAAAGTCCGCCTATATTCCAAACTCCACCCACATGTCCAAGAAAGTCCACCTATGTTCCCAACTCCACCCACACGTCCAAGAAAGTCCATCTATATTCCAAACTCCACCCACACGTCCAAGAAAGTCCGCCTATATTCCAAACTCCACCCACATGTCCAAGAAGGCCCACCTATATTCCAAACTGCCCACAAAGCAAATAAAGCCCGCCCACATAATAAACTCCAACCAAACTGCAGAGTCCCCTACTTGAATTTAGCGACTGAATGTTTGACTGTATTGAACTGATGACCTGTCCAGGATGTGCCCGCCTATTAAAAACATTTAGTGTGCATTTACAAAGTATCAGTTGTCATCTTATATCTGAATCATCTCTTACAAGCCTCTTGATTGGTTGACTGACCCTAAACATCAGACGAGGAAGCCGAAGGTCATTCTGTATTTGTGCCAAAACAGAGATCAGCCAAACGCATTATGCACATAAACAAAGTGATGTGAGTGAATCCAGACTATAAACAGGATGTTTACAGCAGCTCTGTGGTCAAAGAATTAACGTTGAACTCCAAAGTGTTTCTTCAGTTTTCTGTAAAGGTACGTGATTACTGACACAAATCAAGTGCAAACATTTACAAGCCTTTCAGCTGCTCGCATGATTAAACTCATATCCTGAAGAGGAAAATCAGGAGCTCACGTTTTTTTTATGGCTTTTATCCAGATGTGGAGGCGGACCGTCTCCACTGAGCAGTTTACTGCAAATGAGGTTTTTAATCTTCCTGAAAACAACAACATCAGACAGATCACTATTTAATCCACTCAGGAGCTGAAAGTTCTGGTAACAAGAGTTCCATTTAAACATTTTTTAAATTAATTTTTCCAGTGAAATTAGTCTAAACTCTTCAGCTCTGACACAGTTTGTGAAAAATATATAAAACAAAGAAACATTTTGAGTTGCACACATTCTTTTTATTTCCTTCATTTTAGAAAAAGCCCCATTGCATTTTTGTCAACCTTAGTGCATTAGTGTTCCTCGCAAAAACAAAACATTAACTTCTAAACATTCATTAACTACCAAATATTACATTATAATTTAACCAGCAGCTTACCATTATGAAATATCAGTGAAACAGCTTTTCTTTGAGTCACATCACCGCAAGAAAATAAGAGTGGGTTCTTTTATTTAGAAACAGGAATTATTGCTGTTTACATTTAATAATTTTAAGTGTTAATTTTCTTTTTTAATTCCAGACAAAGAACGCCTGGAAGTTTCCGGGTGGTTTGTCTGATCCAGGAGAAAATATCGGTGAGTGACCCGGCCAACAGCAAAAACAACTAATACAGTACATCCAACGCCAACCTTTGAGTTTAATAATACGCTCGATACGATACATTCATCTGAACTGTACAAAGTAAAGTATAATATGATGTATACTCATCTCCTGTTTCACCCTTTTGTACAAACCCAACGCTCACAGTAATGTTGTGTAAATGGAAATAAAAACAATGCAACGACTCACAAATTTCATAAATCTATGTTTTGTTCACAGATTTGCAAATCGTTGCATTTTTTGTTTGCATTTTACAYGCCACAACTGTTTTAGTTTTGGGATTGTAGTGTTTTAAAAGCAGCTATAAAAATATRTTGGTAATTCCATCAAAAAAAGCAGCGTCAAACTTGAGTTTCTACAAATTATACAGATCCCCCCCCCTTTTTTTCCCCTCATAAAACTACATTTTAAAAGTTTTTTTTGAATTACCGTCTTTCAGGTGCCACCGCCGTCCGTGAAGTCTTCGAAGAGACCGGCGTCCGCGCCGAGTTCAGGTCTCTGCTCAGCGTCCGGCAGCAGCACCGGCACCCCAACGCCTTCGGCATGTCGGACCTGTACGCCGTGTGCCGGCTGAGCCCGCTCACGTACCGCATCGACTTCTGCACCCAGGAGTGTCTGCGCTGCGAGTGGCTGGACGTGGGCGAGCTGGCCGCCACCGCCAGCACCACGCCCATCACGTCGCGCGTCGCCAAGCTGCTGCTCTTCGGCCTGGAGCGGGGCTTCGATGAGATCGACCTCGCCATGACGGAGCTTCCCGCCGTTTATTCCGGGGTGTTTTACCAGCTTTACCACAGGCCGCTTCCCTCCGAGTCAGAGCCTGGCTCAGATTGATTGACAGGTGGGAAGTGACTGGACGGATAGACGATTCACCTCAGTCCTGCTGTTACACTTAATTATTTTAACACTTTAATGACCTCAGCTGTTCTAACAGTGGCTGGTTTGAAGTAAACTGAGCACGAGACATAAGGAAATTAGTGTTTGGTAGATCATTCTTTGTTGTAACAAAGCTGCTTGGCAATAAATCTTATACCGTTGGAAAGCCTGTCAATTCTAGAGGTGTAACGAAACATCAATCTAAATCGATACACCAGTTACATCTGGCCAAAATGAAAAAAAAAAAACTTATTCATGTCACACCATCTAATACAACTATTTATGTTAGACTTGCAAATTGATTTAAATTAAAGTCATATCGTGATGCTCTGCAGATAGAAGAATTTTTGCTAACATTTATCTTGTTTTTGGACTTTTTGTTTTGATGCGTAACCATCATAAAATGGTGTTTTTTTGTAATTAGGAACAGCTGATTAACATCTCAAAAGTTCAAATAATACCTCAACTACAGCCCCAAATCCCCTGAGTTGAAAAGGAGGCGCCGGGGACGCAGACCAGGAGCAAGGAGGAGAGAGAGGAAGTTCAAACCATCTCTTCCATCAATCATAATGGGCAATGTGAGATCATTGGGGAACAAGTTGGACAAACTATCAGTATCTATAATAACTGAGTTAATGAGTTACAACAACATTTAATTTCCCTTTGGGATTAATAAAGTATTGTTGAACTAAATTAAATTGTATCGTGACAGACTTTGTAATATTAAGAAATATCGTATCGTCATCCAAACAGCTCGATATAATATTGTATTGYGATAAATCTGGTGATTTACACCCCAAGTGGCCAGGCTGTTGTGGCTGTGTATGGTTCTTCCACAAGTCACTGAGGCTCCTGTTTGTTAAATGAATAAATTATTAAAYTAACAGAATGTCTTGTTTCTTTAAACTTCAATCTTCCAGTCCAACAAAAACACCACACGAGTCAATTAGAAGATTTGGTAAATATTTCATGTGCGTAATCCACATTTTCAGCTCTACTGCATGTTCCTTACAAATGTGGCAYCATTTAAAAGTAAATTTAAAAGGATTCACAACAATATAAGATTTATTGCCAAGAAGCATATTTACAACAAATAATCTACCAAAAAACAAATTTTCTTACTTTTTGTGCTGAGTTTATATTTATTGCTGCCATATTCAATTAAATTTTATTTAAGGTAAAAAAAACTGATTAAACTAACATTTATCGATGAAGTTTGCTCTTTGCACAGATTTCATGTTTACAGGTTCATTATAATAATTATAAGAACAGAAACTTCCTTTGCTTCAAAAGAGTACATTCTTTTAGTACATTGTTTTGTAATCTAGATACTTTGTGCCATTTTAACCATTTATATATCAAAACGTTTGGTTTTTGTAACTTTTCTCATGTTTGAATTACTGAAATATATTTGAAATCTACTTTAGCTGACGTTCTATTTTTTTAATGCTCCTTATGCTAATTTAAGCTTTTAGCTATTTGTAAAGTTTTAGCTTTTACGTACCTTTTTGTTAATTTAGCAAAATGATCTCTTAACTAGAAGATAATTTATAAAAACTCCAGATTGAGGAGGTAAACTGCAGACTCTGGTTTATCGGCCACAGACTCCAGTAAAGTCCTGGTTTTACTGGGAAGCAGTCCGGTCTGGATGTGGCACCGACCCGAGAGTTCAGCCCGACATCCTCAGATATGTTCAGGATTTAAAACAAACAATCAGTCGTGAGTCACAGCTATTTTAGGTTATGGAAGGCTGTCGTCCTCGGCTTCACATCTTCTCCTCCGTCTCTCGGGCTGATCCCTGATTAGCACTTGGCAGACATCGGGAGGAAGAGAATGGCCTTCTGACCCGGCCCGGTGTTGTTCCCGGACTTGTACTGACCAGTTCGCTTCAGTGCCACGTACATGTTTGGGTATTTTCTGGAGCGGTAGGTGTTGTAGTTGTTGYTCTCCAGACGTTCCAGGAAGTAGCACTCGTCTGTCGTTCGTTTCTGAGGGGAAAGTAAACGGAGCGTTGGAACAGCTGATTCTGGTTCATTAAGCAGCTAAAGTTACTGAGACATTATGAAAACTGTGAAAAGACACCTTCAGGGTTATTCTATAAGGCACTTTCCATTAAATACCTTTTATTGTTAAACGCAAATAGGCAGTTTTGATTTGAGTCTTTTGTTTTCTAATATTGAACAGAAACCTTCTAATACCAGCTGCCATGACAGGTGGAGAGTGATAACACAACAGGAAGAAGCCTGGTCTCTAACACAAAGATCAGGAMTTTCCTGTGCATAAAATTGAACTAAATATTTTAAAGATAAGCTCTCGAACAAATTAAAGGTCTAGCATTCTTTAAAGAAATGCATATCACCCACCAGAAGTGAATAAAGTACTTGAAAGAAAAAAGGAAAAAAATACTTTTATTTTTAGCTAGCTTTTTGCTACATTTAGGATTTAGTTCGCCGTTTGCTACTTTTGGTTTCTATTAGTTTTCTGCTGGGGTTTTGCTTCTGATGTTTTTAAGATGGCTTTGTGTTACTGTTAGCTTTCAGCTACCTTTTGCTATTTTGTCAAAATATCTTTTTGATACCTTTATTTTTTTAGCTAGCTTTTTGATACTTTAGCTTKTTAGTTAGCTTACTGCTACATTTAGGATAGTGGTTTACACTTATAGCTAGATTTTGGCTACTATTAGCTTTCTGCTAGCTTTTTTATTAGTTTTGGTATCCAGCTAGCTTTTTAATAGGCTATTTATATTTTAACTAGCTTTTTTGATACCCTTTTTTGTTAGCTTTTTGATGCTTTTGTTTTATTTAGCCTGCATGTTCAGAATCACTCTCAGCCACTACTAMACCAAATTTTAGCTCGATGTCTGTAAAACTGACTGAGTTTAGCCATTCTGTGCGCTGGCGAAGGTTGATAAGCTGTGGCGGCCATCTTGAATGGGGCTGACACCAAAAGTTAATCAGTTGTAGACGTCCTTCCAATGATTACTTTATTATTGGAACCCAGGTATTTTTCAGCTCAAACTAATTTATCTGATAAGATATGAACAGCTGATCGATTTATCGACAGATGTGGATTCAATTTAATCAAAATCGCATCGTGACAGACTTAAAGCTGCTGATTTACACCCCTAATCTGGTGCATTATCATTTTTTTATAAAACCAAAACAGCAATAACTGAAGTCACTCACCGCTCCAAACAGCCTCCCATCTCTGTTCATCGCCAGGTATCTGTTTGCAAAAACTCCTTTGATGACCACCTCCCCCACAGAGGTCGCCTGCATCTTCAGCTTTACTGGAGACAAGAGACAAAAATGTGTTGAAACTCAAAAGTTTTACTGTAGAAGAATCGGATTACATTCTGGGAGGCTAAAATAACTGGAGCCAAACATCAGCTCACAGCTGCTGACAAATAATTAGTTGACGACACTTTCTTCCCATAAAACCCTCGATAAAATCAATAAACAACCGAGTCAGCCTCCTCAAAGTCGCCTCCACCATCTTTGTCTTGAGAGATGTTTCATCTCGCCAGCAGGACCATTTACAGGAAGCCAAGTTACTGAAAAAGGAAGCGGGGGCCCTGACGAGGTAAATTAGAGGATCTGCTCTAAATGAAGCCACATTAAGAGTTTCAACACATCTGTCTGCAGTTAAGACAGACGCCGTGTCCCAGATCAAAAAGATAAATAAAAATAAAAACCGGTCCGAGGGAGCTGCTGCAGGTAAATGATATAAATGGAAAAGCTTATGGTAACATCCACCTAAACTAAAACATGTTTTTTTTAATTTAGCGAGAATAAAAGCAGCATCGATGCAGAAAACGTGGGGTTTAAAAGTAAACTATTAACTTWGATTCCTGGTTAATGACTTACAGTCAGTGTCAGACTTCTGTAGAAACAAACTACCAGTGATAATAATCATTTCCCAGATTTCATGCATGTCTGTGTAATTGCAGGTATCAGTTCTTAAACAGTTCCAGTGAAGGAGTCGTTTGGTCACACATGGTTGACATGCTGCTTTCCCCAGAGGAAGAAAAAAAAAACATGCACTCCTCCTCCTTCTCCTCCTCCTCCTCCATCCAATGAAGCTTCAGGACAAACTTAATGAAGACCCTGAAGAATCAGACAGGTTTTCACTTCCTTCATTACTTTAATAACAAAAATATTAAAATTATCTTCATTTTCTGAAAATATTGACTGATTTTATAACTTTTCTGCAAAAATGTAGCGTCAGTCCTGAAAGGCTGAAACTAAATTAAAATTAAAATAATCAGAGCGCTAACATAAAAGAGCACAAACCTAGCTAAAAGTAGCATAACATTAGCTACGAACCAAAAGTAGCAAGAGGTTAGCACAAAAGTAAAACTAGCAGAATGGTGGCTACAAACTAAAGACAAGCTAAAAGTAGCAAAATGCTACAAACTAAAAATGACAAAAAAAAACGTGTATTTTAGCTACAACGTAGAATAACTAAATGTGGAAAGTCTGTCTAAAAGCTAAAATTAGCAAAAAGTTTTCTATATTACAGAAAGAGCAAAATACTAGCTAAAAGCTAAAAAAAATAAGGACTAGTTAAAAGTAGCAAAATGCTAGCTAGCCTAGCTAAGCAAAAAGAAAAGTAGCAAAAAGTGATAATCTATCTGTAAGCTAAAACTAACAAAACATTGTCCAAAATCCAAAACTAGCAAAAGACTAGCTAAAAAAATAAAATAAGGGCTAAGATAGCAGAACACTTGCTACAAACTAAAAATGGAAAAAAGGTTAGATAAAAGCTAAAATTATCAAAATGTTTGCAAAAAGTAGAACATTTGCTACATTTATAAGGTTAGCTCAAAGGTAAAATTAGCATACTAGCAGAATGGTAGGTAAAAGCTAAAAGGAGAATGATAACAAAAGTAAAAAAAAAGGTAAATATGAGCTAAAATTTGCAGATTATTAGCATTAGCAGCCTAGCTAAAAGAAGAGTAGCTAAAAGTAAGAAAAGGTTAGTTTAAGCAGAATAAAAAGCCTAAATTAGATTAAAAATACTGAAACAGTTTAAAGGAAAGTGTTTATAAATAAAGGTAAGTATCTTGAAAAGGGTAAAAGTTACAGTTAGTGATGATTGATCATTTTGAGCCTGACCTTTGACCCAAATAATCCAGGATTTTATTCGGCTGTTTTTATTAGTTGTGGTTTGACATGAAGCACACAGAGAGCTCTGTGACTCAGCAGGATGAACACTTAGACGTAGATTTCATCAGAGTTCCCACTGATGAAGAAAAGCTGAGGTGATCCTGCAACAACAGCTCTTATGTTTTCCAGAACCRTTCCTACACAGAATGAGTGAACGAGTGGAGAATGAACTCCAGTTAGACGGAAACGTCTCGTTTTCCTTCCTTCTTTTCGAAAGCTTTACTAAAACTTTCCTATTGCACATTTAAACAGAACATAAAGAGGCTCTGTGCAACGATGGACGTGGGGAGAGGGAGACTGGAAGTGCTTACTGTGGGGGTCGCTCTTCTCCCGGATCCCGTCCACGCCCCCGTCAGATTTGATCCTCAGGAAAAAGCCRCCGTTTTTACAGTACAGCCTCTTGGGCTCCTTGAAGCTCCCGGGAGGGAAGCCGCCACTGCCGCCGTCCTCGGGTACGGAGGGAAGTGTGGTGATTTCTCCGGTGGCCATCTCCTCCCGTTAGCCCYGCTTCGTCTCCTCCTTTAGGAAAGCAGAGACCCTCTGCGTGGACTCCCACCGCACTCCCTTCACGAACGCGCTCCACTTAACCCCAGAGGTCAGTTGGCCTCTCGAGGCAGCGAGCGGCCCTTTGAGGGTCTGCAGCACGGACACTGCTGCAGGCGTCTATCTGACGACGAACATCTGGAGCTCCTGGTTTTCTGGTTTTAGGGGGGCGAGCACGCAGTTTTGGGCTCTATCCTCCTCGCCTCTCGCAGTGTTTGAAGCAGCTGGCTCGGATCCCTCTGATGAAGGCTTTTCCCTTTTGGGCCTCAGCTCGCATGCGCCCTAGGAGCACCACACACAAGCTCACGCCCACTAACGTTGGCCAGTTTGCCCAGCCAGCCCAGAAGAGGCTGGGGGGACGGGTATCCGAGCAGAAGCAGCGTCGATTAAATTCAGGCTTCACTCGGTCCAGCAGGGGATGTTAGTGCGACACGAACATATCACATTCCACATCAGCGTGCACGAGTGTTACAATTATTAACCACGTCAGAGGTTTTGCACCAAATACCAATGACTCTCACAGAGGGGCCACGTTTTACTCGTTTCAGTGAAACTTTTAGGCGAATCAAGAGAAATGACTGAGCAGGTTTTGTTGTTTCTTTACCTGCAGAAAAGTGGCTAAAATTTGGTCAACAACCATGAAAGAGCTGTTTGGGATGGAGGAGTCCAACAGTTTGGATGTTTACTGAGTGAAAACTAATGCAGGAAACTCAAAACAGACCGTTTCTTTCATTAAATAAAGCTGGGATAACCGTTTTAAAGATGTGGAGCTAGGATTTAGTGCTTTAGTAGAAGGCCTTAATCTCCCTCTCTGTAAAAAGTAGTTACATTCATAACTTACTTTTTAGCTGTTACATGCATTTTGTTGTGTACTTTGATAAATCTGTGCTGCATAGATATATTTATATTCCKTCTGGGTCGTACTTTTCAATCGTTCAGTTTTCTCATTTTTTTATGGCATTTTCTGAACTCAAAATAAGGTCTGGWCTTACCAGCRATGATTTGGTGGTCTTCGTTCTCCTCTGGCTCCAACATGTCKGGCTGGATGGACAAGTCTTSCCTTGTTGACATCTGATTTGTAAATAAAAMGTTTCTGCGCAGCTATATAGTCATAAACTCCTCTATCAAAGTAGAATGGACGGCTCTGGAAGCTGGAGCGGTGTGAAGTGTCTTGTTTGGATTTAAAGAGATGGCCTCAAAATGAGTTGATCTTAGACACACCCCAGAAARGGGGCGGGGCTTGTGGAGTTTCAATAAGGAKGAATTCAGAGCAAACATTATATAGACCCCAACTGAAGGATTGAAATGCCTGATGTACATCCTTAAAGTGCAGTAATATATTCAAGACATAACGTTTGAAGCTGCAGCGGGCGTATCGATCTGCACTCAAAAAACAGATTACTGGATTTACTTAACCATTATTTAAACAATTTCCACTAATTATAAAGCAACTTTCACTTTTATTTTAATGTGACAAATGATTTACTCAACCCAGTAGAGTGGAAATTGTTGACAGTTTTGTTAAGTAAATCCAACAGCACTGCTTTTTGAATGTAGATACTAGAGTGATAAAGTAGAAGTACAGATACTAGAGTGAAAAAATATTTTATTGGGAAGTAGAAGTACAGATACTAGAGTGAAAAAATATTTTATTGGGAAGTAGAAGTACAGATAGTAGAGTGTAAAGATATATTTGAAGTAGAAGTACAGACACTAGAGTTTAAAACTATATTTTTGGAAGTAGAAGTACAGATACTGGAGTTTAAAGTTACTTTTTTAAGTATAAGTACAGATACTAGAGTTTAAAAATATATATTTTCTGAAGTATAAACAGATACTAGAGTTTAAAAATATTATTTTGGAAGTATAAGTACAGATACTAGAGTTTAAAAATAATTTTTTAAAGTATAAGTACAGATACTAGAGTTTAAAAATAATTTTTTGAAAGTAGAAGTATCAACTCAAGCTTTCTAATAAAGTAAAAGTACTGTTTATTAAACTACTTAAAGTATGAAAGTAAAAGTAAGGAAAAATGCCATTATTGATAAAGGTTTAGGGTTCCTATAGAACACAGCCCTAAAACATCGTTTCTGAAGTCCACGATGACTATAAGATATAATAAAATGATAAAGTAAAAAAATATGAATCTGTTTCAGCTGCATATACAGTATATACAGTATATCTCTGTCACGGTCATCTTCATTCTAGACTACATATGTCTATGTTCTATCGAAACGTGACGTGATTTGTGTCCGAATGTTTTATGTTTATACTCGTCTTCCAACCACAATCGTTTACATTTTTATTGTGTTTTACTATAAAAGTCTGACGAGCTTCTTGTTTCACTAAACTGAATTTAGTAAACGAACAAGCCGAGGCTCCTGGGAGGAAATGGAAGTTCACACATTTCATCTCCTCCGAGTCACACAGAAGGAAAGTTCTGCGCACATCTTCGGCTTCACACCAAACAGATATCGTTCTTATTTCCAAACAGTTTCTCAGATTAAACATTTGTTTGTCATATAACAGGAGTTTCATATCAGATAATAATGCTGGNTATTCCAAACTCCACCCACACGTCCAAGAAAGTCTGTCTATATTCCAAACTCCGCCTGCACGTCCAAGAAAGTCTGTCTATATTCCAAACTCCGCCTGCACGTCCAAGAAAGTCTGTCTATATTCCAAACTCCACCCGCACGTCCAAGAAAGTCCGTCTATATTCCAAACTCCACCCACACGTCCAAGAAAGTCCGTCTATATTCCAAACTCCACCCACACGTCCAAGAAAGTCCGCCTATATTCCAAACTC